ACGCGTAACGTAAGTTATGAACCGCCCGTAAGTACTTCACCTCGGCCACAGCCTTCTGGCAAGCAAATATCTGGCCAACACATCTCGTCACTACGCGTATGCAACAAGATGCTGCATGACATCCCGCTATTTGACAAGCCATTATGCTTTCCAAAATACAACTTTCCAGTGCGCACATGAAAGCCGTCCTTGATCGAGGCTCATTTCTCAAACACGGCGTTGAGGCTCGCTACAGCCCCGTCACAGGTAATGCCTCCGCGGCATTTCGACAGGCGTGGTCATCTGTTAGCCTCCTCTCTGCCTGCGCGGGAAGTGTGCCGCCGCTGTCATGTGTCGATCCAGGCTCATTTATCAAGCACAAAGATAAACACGGCTGCCCATTGCCGTTTTGCTTCACAGAACATAACAAAAGCAAACAGAAACATAAAGCACAGACTACGGCATTTCAAGACCGCTGCTTCAGATCTCCGTCAGTCGCCACTTCCTCCACATAACTGTGACCAAAGATCTGCGGACCTCGCCGCGCCAGCAGGGGGCAGCGCTAGTGAGGGACGCGCGGCACGGTCCGAGCGGACAGCAGACATCGCCGCCACAGGTGACACCTCCGCGGCACGTTAACGGGCGCGGTCGCCTGTCAGCCTGGTCTCGGGCCGCGCCGGGCTCGGGTGGCGCGTCATCGGTGCCATGTGCGCCCACCCGGCGTCAGCCAGCTCCCCCCCCCCCCCCCACACGCAGCGCCAGGCGCGCGCGTGCCTCACGCGGAGAGCATGTGTACACAGCCACTCGGCGAGCGCCCCCGCCCCCGCCGCCGGCGCCGGCGGGGCGACGCCACGTGACCGACGACGAGGTCACGTCAGCAAGGAGGAGGGCCGCGGCGCGCCTAACGAAGGCCGCTATCGGCTGGCAAAGACGAGGTTATGTTCCCCGCGACGCGTCGCCATTAGGGACCTACGCAGCACGACGAGCGCGGACACACTGCGCGGGACACTACGACAGCGAGGCTGCGGCGAGTTCGGAGCAGACAGACAACCGATTTTTGACCCGTATATCGCAGCTAATTAGCCCGTCTTGGGTGCGGATAGCGGTGAGCCGTAGGACACTAGCTACGAGCAACACCTATTTCCCATTCGTCCTCGCACGCGCACGCCGCGCGTATTCCCCGTCCACCAATCGTTCACTCATCCGTCACGCGTGCAGTCACGCGAGCGACATTAATCTGTTCATTATTCACCACAAACCTGCTTGTTCTTTCACATTCCTATGACATCCGGCGTAACCTCGGCTCTCGCAGACGCATCGATGCCCCCCGCGCCCACCACACAAATACTTCTTGCGTCATCTGCATCCTGTCACGAGCGGCCGGCAAACTAATGATGCAAGCTCTCATTGCATTTTTTCTGTAGTCATCTCGCCGGACGAGAAAAGCCCGCACGCCCGCCCAGACATCCATCCTTGCCAGGTCTGCATCATCTCCCCGCCGTCCCGGACCAGCAGGGCACCCTCATCTCATCGGCTCCTCCGCGGCTGCCGGTGTCGTCAATCTGGTGGCCATCTCTGGCCGGCCCAGCAGACTGGGGCGGCCCCGGGAGGCGACCAGCACACACCGGACGCCAAGGCCGCGCGGCCCACCTCTCTCTCCCTCTCTCTCTCTCTCGGAGGAGTTGGACAGGCGAGAGGTGTCCGCGGTCCGCCGCGTTCGGACCCAGCGCCGCCCACGTCCTCACCGCGCGGCCGTACACCAGCCGCGGCGAGGAGGCCGGGGAGGGAGGGGCGCAGTGGAGCCCCTATCACCGGACCCAGTGCCGCCCACGTCCTCACCGCGCGGCCGTACACCAGCCACGGCGAGGAGGCCGGGGAGGGAGGGGTGCGGTGAAGCCCTTATCACGGGACCCAATGCCGCCCACGTCCTCACCGCGCGGCCGTACACCAGCCGCGGCGAGGAGGCCGGGGAGGGAGGGGCGCAGTAAAAGCCCTATCGCCGGACCCAGTGCCGCCCACGTCCTCACCGCGCGGCCGTACACCAGCCACAGCGAGGAGGCCGGGGAGGGAGGGGCGCAGTAAAAGCCCTATCACCGGACCCAGCGCCGCCCACGTCCTCACTGCGCGGCCGTACACCAGCCGCGGCGAGGAGGCCGGGGAGGGAGGGGCGCAGTAAAAGCCCTATCACCGGACCCAGTGCCGCCCACGTCCTCACCGCGCGGCCGTACACCAGCCGCGGCGAGGAGGCCGGGGAAGGAGGGGTGCAGTGGAAGCCCGTACCACCGGGCCCAGCGCCGCTCACGCCCACACCACGCGGCCATACACCAGCCGCGGCGAGGAGGCCGGGGAGGGAGGGGCGCAGTAAAAGCCCTATCACCGGACCCAGTGCCGCCCACGTCCTCACCGCGCGGCCGTACACCAGCCGCGACGAGGAGGCCGGGGAGGGAGGGGCGCAGTGGAGCCCCTATCACCGGACCCAGCGCCGCCCACGTCCTCACCGCGCGGCCGTACACCAGCCGCGGCGAGGAGGCCGGGGAAGGAGGGGTGCAGTGGAAGCCCGTACCACCGGGCCCAGCGCCGCCCACGCCCACACCACGCGGCCATACACCAGCCGCGGCGAGGAGGCCGGGGAGGGAGGGGCGCAGTAAAAGCCCTATCACCGGACCCAGCGCCGCCCACGTCCTCAGCGCGCGGCCGTACACCAGCCGCGGCGAGGAGGCCGGGGAGGGAGGGGCGCGGTGAAGCCCTGTCATCCCCGAGACCGCACACTGAGCGCCGACACGTGATGAGGCCCGACAGAGGATGCTGCGGTCAGCGGTCGGCCACCGCGCGTCAGTGGCTGGCGGCGACCACACACAGCCGTCACCAGCCTTTGCAGGAAGAAAACGGGTGCTATCAGCGATCCTGGCAGGGCGTGGAACTAGAGCTTACAACAGCCTGGCCAGCGGCGGCTACACGGCGAGTTTTGGTCGCAGGCGGTAGCAGCGAAATGGACACTGACAAGATTGCGGTCACGGGATAGCGTGTCAGCAATCTTGCAGCCTCTGGGAAGGCATCACCGCAGACCTCGTGGGCAATGGGCGAAGACTGACGGCTGTTTCAAATCGGGCCACAGAGACCGTGTGTTTTAAGAGCCCCACACCACTGATTAGGACATTCCTCACTACCACGTCATCATAGAACCGCTTGATCATCAGCTGACTGCTCACTTCACACCACGACAGAAGGCCGCTGCAGCTTATTGTGGCCACAGTTTCACTGGACACGACTGACCAGCGTGGGATCACTCTCATGTATCCACCCCCTGTCGGTGGGGAGCAACGCCGGAGCCGCCGCACTTCGGATGCCAACCGTCCGGCATGAGGGCCACGCGCGGAACCCAGAGCAAGGCTAATCTGAGTCGGAGCGTTTTTTTTTTACCCGAAACTTTGACATTCCTCCCCCAATCTAACCCAGCCAAGACTGACTGCGGCCTATAGCCAACGCGGGCACATCCAAATCTACTCCGACCCCGCAGCTACACACTACACACTACACACACTGCACACTACACTACAGTAAATGATTCAAGTGTCGCCAGCGGAACACGTGTGAAAGGCACCGGTTGTACACTGCTGTGAAGATCTTCAGCTGCGGGTTATTATTCCCGGCACGGCCGAGCGCACGCCTCGCGTGCAGTGCCGCGGTGAACGCAAACCAGGTCACGGGCCGCACAACGCGCGCGTCCGCCGCGCGTGCGGTAGACGCGGCGCGGCTCCTCCGCCGTCTGTGCCGCCAATGGCACCTCCCAACCTACCAGCATTCAGTCTCCGTGCCCCGTACCGAAAAGAAAATGAAAAATCTACCTCCCATTTTGCGCTAGCTAATCAAGGAAATGAGAATTTACGCTAGCGGAGGGTTCGTTTCATTCTTAAGTGAGGACCGCAGAGGTGGTCCTATAAAAGCTGCCAACCTTTGCTAGGGTACAAGGAAATCGAAAATAAAGCTGATTTGATGATCATCCTACCCTCATTACCTTTATCGCCAGGTTTTCACCATTTTACACGCTTTGTGGGAATGGGGTCTGACTTGGGATGGGGCGAACAAGGAGTTGTACGCCACTGCAATGCTAAAGAGGTCTACGGAAAACACGAATCTTTAATCTAACTTGAGCCATCCCCTCCAGACCAAATCGGCGCCTTTCCCTTTCCATCATATTACTTCTGCAAACGTTTTTTCCCGACATTGGCCCAGCAGGAGGGAGTAGCAACTGTTGTCAGTGCTTTCATTTCAGCGGTGCTTTTACGACGGAAAACAGGGCACAAGCGTGCTGATGCCTCGAGCTTTCGTGATTTCTTATTGACGGGATAGGGGGTTTGGAGTGATTTAGTCGTTAATCAGAATGCTGGGCTCATTCTCGAATAAATCAACTTAAAACTAATTTTGACCGCGCCCAACTATTTCATATCAGGAAATATCTATTCATCCATGCTGTTTCATTAGATGCTGAGGAGATGAAGACAAATTTACAACGCCAAACAGCTCGAGACATTTTTCAGGACACAGTTGACCCCATACAACTTCGCATCTCAGTGAAACGTGCCATCTCAATTCTCACGGACTTTTGATCGACGCCAAACTCAATAAAAGTTCGGGTCACCAGTGAACTCTGTCATCTCATTTCTCTCGGACTTTTGATTGACGTAAAGCCAATCTTGCACCGCGATCAGAGCCTCTCGTTTCAGCTGACGCAGCGATCAGTAGCAGACCGACGGCTATCGCTTCAGCGCCCTTCTGGTAAAAATATTTGTCTCGCGTTAAGAGCGCTGTAGAAAAGGCACCAACTGTTTGACAGCTGAGCGCCATGTCAGCAGACGCAGCGGGCCGAGACCACAGGGAGATATGACGTCATTGGGAGGGCGCCGCCAGCGCTTCGGTTCAGAAAATGTGTCGATTGAAGATAAACAGCTGAACAAGCGCTCGGTGGCGCCGAGCCACACGAGTTACGAGACCTGCTGAAAAAGACCGAGGTCGGTACTCACGTATCTCCACGATAGGCGACGCCGAAGTACTTGCGCTCCTTAAGCGAGCAGTGAGAGGCGACGATGTCGGCCAGCTCGGAGGTCAGCAGCCGCAGCTGGACGGAGACCTCAAACCGGCGCTCGTCTGGCAGCACCACGTGACAGCGCCGACCCGACGGCGGCACCTGGCGACGGGGGCGGGGTCAGGTCAGGTCAGGTCAGGTCAGACACCGCAGCTGGACGGAGACCTCGAACAGGCGCTCGTCCGGCAGCACCACGTGACAGCGCCGACCCGACGGCGGCACCTGGCGACGGGGGCGGGGTCAGGTCAGGTCAGGTCAGGTCAGACACCGCAGCTGGACGGAGACCTCAAACCGGCGCTCGTCTGGCAGCACCACGTGACAGCGCCGACCCGACGGCGGCACCTGGCGACGGGGGGCGGGGTCAGATCAGGTCAGGTCAGACACCGCAGCTGGACGGAGACCTCAAACCGGCGCTCGTCCGGCAGCACCACGTGACAGCGCCGACCCGACGGCGGCACCTGGCGACGGGGGGCGGTCAGGTCAGGCCAAGCCAGACACCGCACTTCTGAGTTGACCTCAGGGCGGCGCCAGCGGAACGGGTGAGGCCACGCCAGGTCGCAGAGGACAACGTGACACACCACCGCATGTCAAGTGGTCATCACCGGGCACAGATCAGATCAGACGCTATCTCATAGCTTTGCACCAACTGTTGATGACTCTTAAGCATCAGGATTACTGCAGCAACACGCCGTTACAATGCAACTGCAGCGATTATCACCCTATCAAAGAAAGCCGCCCGTTGTCTCGTCAAGGGTCACCAACTTGCCTCTTACGTGTGGAATCGCCCCCACCTCTCCCGCACCGCCGTCACGTGCACACTCTGGTGCCGGGGAGTCGAACAGCCGCGGGCTCAGAGTCGTCCCCGCCCCCGGAGCGGCTCTGCCTCGACCGGCGTCCAGAGGCCGACCAGCCGCCCGCACCGCGCCGAGAGCGTGTTCTCGACACGCACGGGGGACCGCTCAGAAGTCAGCAGCATTGTCGGTGGCCGCCTGGGTGGCGCAGACCAACCGCAGGTTTAAGGCCAGCAGGGGACCACAGGGAAGGGGACGGAGGGGGGGGGGGGGAAGGCATCACGCGCCTCCAACCGCCGCCGTAAAATTGTATGGGTCGTGGCGGCAGACGAAAGGGGTGGTAAAGTCCCGTGATTGCTCGATATCTGCCAGACAACATAATCTCAGGGGATGAATCATGATCAGAGCAGCGAGAACAAATCGCTGCCCTCAAAGCCGGCGGTTCTCATAACGCGGCGTGTGTGCCTGGTGAATGTAGCGCAGCTATCGTGCATTGATGCGACACCTCGTTCCCAGTTCGCAACAGCCGATAAAAGCCAGTTTATTGCCCAGCGCACAAAGGGGCCGGTAGCTGCAGTTTGCACGAATTGGGCCCAGCCCGCCGTCTGCTAAATGGCCGGCGCTTCCGTGGGCGGGGTTCATTGGGCGGCGGCTGCTGTTCTGAATGAAGTCATGCCCATCTGTGCAGCGCGCTCATAACCGTGATCGTGCGCTGCTGACAATGCTCTCCTCAACCGGTGTTCGAGGACATCGCACCGGATATACCGTGCAAAACCGCCGCGTGAGTGCATTTCGTTTGCTTCATGCGCACAATCATGTGCGCTACATTCAGATCCACTCGCACGGATGCGTTTGCAGCAAATACGTGGCGCCGGGTTGATGAGACGAGTCTTAATCTCTAGCTTCCTCGGCGATACCGTCCTCACGAGAGTTCTCGTTCCGTGATGGGATGGCATAAGCATATCACATAAATATCAACATCGGTTGCAATGAATCATACGTCGTGGAGAACCGGCACTAATCTTACGCTTACTGCTCTAAAAGCTTTCAAAATATACACCGTACCCAGCCATCTCGAGCGGTCCTTTCGTCTCGACGGACCCGCTTCGCCGAACTTTCGAACTCGACGAACCGCAGTGGCGACGGGCAGCATCGGAATGAACACCAAGGTCTGCAGTCTTCGCCCCAGAGCCGAGGTACGATACGTGACCGGAAGATCGGCTACATCGGTACCAACACACATTTAACAGACGCTCCATTTTTCTGAGGCGTCCCAGCAGGGCGGAGCTGGCCTGGACCGTAACATCCGGACGTCCCGAGCCCCAACGGCGTCACACTAGCATGTGCCGCCCGCTCCCAGCCGAGCTGCCCTCGACACGGGTCACGCTGGGCTCGCCGCGGGTCGCCCGCACACCGCGGCTCGGCCGACCGGCGCCCATCTGGCCGGCGACGCCGCTGACCCGGGGACACCGCCGGGTCACGTGACCGACGGCCACCGACCGCAGCCTGCGCCGTCCGGCCGCGTGTCAGCAGGTCAGCCGACCCGGGCGCGTCCCGGGGCCGCGGGGAACGCCGCGGCCGGCCACCGCCGGCACCGCTCCCAGACCGTTTAACGGTGCGCGACGGCGGGGTGGCGAGACGGCGGCGCAGGTGGCGCCGGGGCCACACCGGCGTCCGGCCGCGGGTCGGAGGTCGATCGCACTGTAAGTGCGCCCGCCGCTGCCGGGCGCACCTGCTGAAACGAGCGCGCCAAACTAGCGCGACCCGCTGTTGACGGCGGCACTGCGGCAGACGATCACGGACGAACAGAAAAGATCCCCCGTTCTCTTATGACATGCTGATCGATGTAATCCAGAATGGATACATCCCTGAGTTTACAAAGCTTCGCTGTCAACGATAAGTCACGCCTTGCCAATAGCCCAGCCCAAACATCGCCTCGCGTAAGCACGCTGTGCACATCCTGCATCAACATTTATCGAGCAGCCCTATCCCTGTCAACATCGGACACCCCGCAACAATCGTGTCCTCCACTGGAAGCCTGCGAACAAGGACACGCCATCCAACTCGCAGGTGCTACGAGCTGGATTCTGGTCGTAAAACATTCCGTCATCTCATCTCAGGCCCCATGTGAGACTCCCCGTCCAGGCCCCTAACACCCAGCCGTCATCACCTGCCATAGCCGGACACCTCTGCGTCCGCACGTCACCGCCCGCCTAACCGGACAGTGCTCTACCGCCCTGGACCGGACCGACCCGGCACTGCCGCCGGCCCTTCGCCGTCGCCTCCCACCGGCCGCGACCGGTGCGGCGAACAACAGCGCGCCGGCGGAAGCATGAGCCGGCGGACGGGGCGGGCGCGGCCGCCGTCCGGTCGCCCTTCTCACGCAGCGTGCACCTTACGCAACCGCAGCGGGCGGCGCGGCCACTCGCCGGGTCAGAGGTCACGGGTCGCGGGCGGGCCGCGCCGCGCGAGACTGTGAGCGCGGTGCGGGCGATCACCGCCGGAGAGAGAGGCGCGTGAAAGCCGGCCGGCGACCGGCGGCGGCGGCGGCGGCGAGTCCCGGCGCGGCGCGGCGCGGCGCGGTGACCCTGGCCTGGCCGGTGGAGAAACTGCGCCCACCCGGCAGGCCCCGAGGAATGCGGCGAGCGCGCGGCCGCCATCAATGGGCGCACGGTGCTGGAAGTGAGCGAGAGTGGGCCGACATCAGACGCTCGCTGTCGACGCGGGGCGAGGCTGAGCCCGCGCAGAGCACGCCTGGGCAGACATCGAGACAGACTGGTTAGACACGGAGTAAGACTGGGTCGGCACAGGCACACCGCCGACACAGCGCGACTGCGTCGAGATCAGGCGCAGTCTGCCGCCTCGAGCCGACAGAGGCGTAGCCGGATCACCGTCGTAAGTGCAGAGGACACGCCTCAGTCGCCGACATGCAGACCACACAACCGACATCGCTGGGATGATAACGAAGCCAAACTTCAGGCGCAGGACGCCGCTGGGCTGAGCCTAAACACATGCTGATGGAACTGAGCTGATGCCACAGATCGGACTCTGGGACACGTCGCACCGAAGCCCCAAAACACCAACCAGTACAAGCGCGGCTGCAGCGACACCGGACGCGGGTTGACGACCGTACAGCACCACGCATCTGCCGGACCCGCCGGACGGCACCGGCACTCAACCGCGCGCTGGCCTCCCATGAGGACCAGAGCCCGCGGCTGTTACCCGCGGCAGCGCGGCCGGCCTCGGCAGACACCGGAGTCCGCGTCGCCACCGGCGCCGGATCGGTACCCGGCGCGAGCTGTTAGGACCCCGCTGGAGCTGGACTCTGACCGAGCCGCTCCGCTCGGGACGGCTACACATCCGGCTACCGCTTGGCTGCATGACTAGCCGGGTGGATCACGCTCCCGGGGACCCGGGCACGGCATTTGGAACGGCTGGGCGCTACAGGTTCTAACACGGCGAGCGCTCAGCGGACCGCGGCGGCAGCCGCGCTGCCAGTGGTTGTTTGCATCCCATATAGGCAAGGCTGCCAGCGGTTGTTTGCATCTCATATGGTTCGTCAAACAGACCGAACCGATGCGGATCCCAGAGGCGCGCTCCAAACCCATCATCTCGTCGATTGGCGAACTGTCTCTTCTCCTCTAACTATTCCGAATGTTTGAAGAGTGCGGCTCTGCATATCTACCGGGGATTTAGTTCTAGTCGACCAGAGAAGACGATCTCGGCTCCGCCAGGCGCCAGCGGACCGCGGAGTCTCGCACGACGACGTCCGAGCCCCACAGAAGCCCCACAGGACCCGCACTACGCATGTCTCGTTGCGTCGACCGTGACCCAATGCCCGAGCGGCCCCATCTGTGGGTTGAGCCGCACATTAGCCTCCGCCGCCTCCGGCGCTGGGCGGCTGGCCGCGGGAGACCTGCGACGAGCCGTCTGGCCCTGACCCGACCGCCTCGTCAGCGGGGCGACCCCACCACGACCGGGTCAAGCGGTCACGCCGCCGCAAAGTACCGCAGCCTCGGGGCCCGTCCCGCGCCCGCCATCGGGCGGGCATGTTCCCACGGAGTCGCGGAACCCCGCCAAAACAGCTCCGATCCGTCCCCATCGGCCCCTTACAGCAACAAACACTAACTTTGGCTGTGGAAATTCCTGAGCGCCAATTCAGCCTTTAATGCATACGAGAACAGGTGCACCGCGCGGCCAGGTCAAGGTTAAGAAAGCGGCGCAGACTCCTGTATAAATCAGTGTCCCAGATGCCTTGAGTGAGCCAGCCCGCAGACCAGAGCTTCTACCGCGGGCGGTGAGATGACACGAGTGAGCCGGCGCCTGGGCCAGAGCTTCTACCCCGGACAGCCCAGATGACATGAGCGAGCCAGGGCCCGGACTAGAGCTACTATCCCGGGCGGTGAGATGACATGAGTGAACCGGCGCCCGGACTAGAGCTTCTACCCCGGGCGGTGAGATGACATGAGTGAGCCGGCGCCTAGACTAGAGCTTCTACCCCGGGCAGTGAGATGACACGAGTGAGCCGGCACCTAGACTAGAGCTTCTACCCCGGGGGTGAGATGACACGAGTGAACCAGCGCCCGGACTAGAGCTTCTACCCCGGACGGTGAGATGACATGAGTGAGTCGGCGCCTAAACTAGAGCTTCTACCCCGGGCGGTGAGATGACATGAGTGAGTCGGCGCCTAAACTAGAGCTTCTACCCCGGGCGGTGAGATGACATGAGTGAGCCGGCGCCTAAACTAGAGCTTCTACCCCGGGCGGTGAGATGACATAAGTGAGCCAGCTCCCGGACTAGAGCTTCTACCCCGGGGCGGCGAGTGGGATTCCGCGGTCAGCGCTAGTCAGTCACGTGACATCCAACCAGTCACCTGCTGACAGCGCTGGTCAGTCACGTGACATCCAACCAGCCACCTGCGGCCGGCAGCTGTGCTCGGCCATCGAGCAGCGCCGGGGGAGCCGGCCCCTCGGCAGGTCCGTACGTACCGTGCGCGCCACCTCCTCCTGCACGGGCGCCAGAGACGGGATCCTCAGCCGCATCCCGGCGCGCGACTCCGACCCCGCCGAGGCGCACGGTCGTCTTGCGCACACGCTCGCAGGCGCTCGCTCCGGCGCGACCGCGGGCTACATCCGCGGCCGGGCGGCGCTGGCTACGCGTGCACTCCTCGGCGTTCGCCCCCGCAGCTCGCGTCACGTCACTGACGAGCCGACAACGTGGCCGTCTACGGCGCCGCCAGTCACTGCCAGCAGGCGCCGAACGGCGGCCGCACTCGCGGGTCGTCACAGGCAGCGGCGCCCGCACCGCCCGCGCCGCACCGCCACCGCCGGCACACTGCGCACTCGCCGGCCGGCCGCCGCGCCGTCGCCGGGCCGCTGCGCAGCGACAGCGAACGGTCGGTCGGCCGAGCGCCGCTCCGCCACCGCCGCCGTCCCCCCGCCACGCGCCGGCCAGCGGCCATAGGCACAGCGACCGAGCCGGCCTTGAACTTGAGCGTCACAAAAACTGGTCGCGGCCGGCAATGGGCCGCACACTGGGCTGCTGTCCCGATCATCCTCGCTCTCTCGGAGTCTCGTCTCGGAGTTGTGGTCCGGCACCACAGCCACCAGCCGCATCGGCCAGCGACCCGAGCACATCCCAGGCCCGGCAACCCAGGACCCGTGACCAGACCAGGTCACGGCGACCCAAGTACCGTGGCCAGCCTAGGTCACGGCAACCCAGCGCCCGTGGCTAGCCCAGATCACGGCAACACAGGACACGTAGCCAACCCAACCTAACCCAGGCCCAGGCAACCGAGGACAGCACAGGACCCTGGCCACTCAACCCAACCCAGACCCAGGCAACTGAGGACAAGCCAGGATCCCCGGTCCTGACAGGTGCATGCCGACGCTCTGAACGTTCTGTCCTCCCCCGTCGGCTGGCGGAATACCGTGCGATCCGCCCGCGCCCGACACCCGAGGCGCCGGCGGTGCGCTGGCGTCCAGCCGCGCTGACCAGCGTTGACCATCAGTCGCCGGTCCTGGCCGCCGCCGCCACCGCCGCCGGACACCGCCGCGGGCCGCGGACGCCTTTCAAACCGGCCAACGGTCGCCGTCCCTCCCCCCCCCCCCCCGCCCGCGCCACGCCGTCCCCCGGCCAGGTAAGACGGCCCGGCCACTTCCGCGGGCGAGCGCCGGCCGGCGCAAGACAATGTCCGGCCGGGCTAATTAGCCTACGGCCGGCTATTCGGGGACAATCGGACGCCGCGATTACATCGGGCGCGGGCGCCGACGGGTGACGGCTCGCCGCGGGTCCCCACCTGGCTTACCGCGGCAGGTGTCGCCGCGGGGGAGGGGGGGCTCGCGGGCCGACCGCCGCGCACCGCCCAACCCAGCTGAGGTTAGCGGTGCGCCCGCTGGCTGGAGCGGCGCTGGGCACGCACCGACAAGGTCGGGCAGTTTTTCAGCGCGCGCGCACCGGCGCCGGCCGGCTCGAGATGTGGCCGGCGACAGGTGACCGGCCTCCGGGCCGCTCGCCCGGCGAAAGAGTCGGCGGGCGGGACGCGCGGGCCCTCCGCCCCAGACAGGTACCGCTACACAGCCGAGCGGCGCCGCGGCCGGCGCGCTCGGCCGCGGCGCCGGCCGTGACTGACGGACAATGGAGCGGGCGACACGGACAGGAAACTGCCGCGTCAGCTCACACCTCACAACCGAGCGGCGCCGCTCCCACGTCCCACACCGGCGACGGCACGTGCCGCCCGCCGACCTGTGTATCATAAACCATAGGAGAGAGGCAGGACTCGCACGTCCGCCGCCAAAGTGTCGGAACGACGGGTCTCTGACTCACACATCGCCGCCAGACACGTGAGGACAGCGGGTCTTTGACTCACACACCGCTTCCGGAGACGTGAGGACGGCGAGTCTCTGACTCACACATCACCTCCAGAGAGGTGAGGACGGCAGGTCTTCAGCTCACACCGTCGCCGGAGACGTGAGGACGACGGGTCACTGTCTCTGACTCACGCATCGCCGCCAGCGACTTGAGGACGGCGGGTCTCTGACTGTCATCCCACAACCGGAAGGAAACAGCTGTGCTGACGCTCTATCCACATTGCGAGCAACGGACTCCCAATCCTAACCCACGAGCGCGACACGGCAGAATCCGTACATCAGCAGCTGTCCCCGGCTGTATGCAGCTCGGCACGATCGTGTACCGGGCCCACCCGCAAGTTATACACATAAAGCGTTCACAGCAAACGAGCTGACAGCAGGTCAAAAGGGCAAGCTCAAATGACGACCATTTGGGTTTCCGGGCGCCGCGAACCCCGCGCTATTAACGGCCACGGACCACAAGCTCACACCTTCCATCCATCCAGACTGTGGACAGCGGACGCCCTGCCGCGGACCAGCGCGGCAGCAGTGGCCGCGGAGGTGTTGCGCGGCGGTGCCGTGAGGTGGCCGCTGGCGGGAGAAGGCCCTCGCCCCGCCGCGGACCAGCGCGGCAGCAGTGGCCGCGGAGGTACTGCCGCGCGGCGGTGCGTGAGGTAGCGGCTGGCGGGAGGGGGTCCTCGCCCTGCCGCGAACCAGCGCGGCAGCAGTGGCCGCGGAGGTGTTGCGCGGCGGCACCGCGAGGTGGTGGCTGGCGGGAGGGGGCCGGCCCGCCAGCGCACCTCCGTAGCTGAGGCCTCTTCGCCGTGGAGCCGCGGGAGGGAACCCGTCCGCCGGCGCACCTCCGTCGCTGAGGCCCCGTGCCGTGGATCCGCGGTCGGCGGCCGGCGCCGGCTGCCGAGCGCTGGCGATTTGACGGCGGCGGCACCAGCTGGACTCCATTACCGGCGCCGGAGTGGCCGGCAACCCTCAATTAAGTCGTTTGTCGACCGCGACCAGCTGTCGGACGCGATGAATATTGTGCGGCAACGATACCGCGGCGGATCGGACAGTGCGTGTCGACCCGGAAAGCTGAGCGGACGCAGCCGGCCGGCGAGCCGGAAACGGAGCAGATCAATGGAACTGGGGAGCGCATTTCACTAGATTCAACAACAGCGGCGACAACAGGGGAGGGAGAATAGGCCCGAGCGTGGCCAGTGAGGAGCGTCGGCGAGCCCGCATGTCAACGGCGTCCCATCGGTCGCCCGCATGCCCTCACGACCGGACCTCAAGCGGCGGGCGGGCCCTCCCGGGCCACTGAGTGCTGAGCAGGGTTGCCTTGACGAGATAGACAGCTCAGCGCACGCAGCAGCGACACCTACGCTGTGCACAACGCTGCAGCGGGCGGGACCGGAACACGCCACGGGAGCCCGGGGTCCCCAGGACGGGTCCAGTCCCCTCCCCTCCAAGGCAAATATCCGATTCTACATGCTCGTAACTGTCAGTTTCGATCGCAGCCAAGAAAGACATTTGTGCCAGCTCTCAATGGCCAATGCTCTCAGTTGGCCAGCTCTCACAGCATGCTCGCAGGCGTCAAGACGCACCCAGCACTTCCCCAATGCCGAAACTTTCGACAGCCGTGCATGGCGCGAGAGTGCAGAGTCCCCTCCGGACAGCGTCTCCCGACATGTAAATTACCATCATCACAAGCCGGCAGCAGGTGTGCACCCCGTGTCCGCCGGCGGCGCCCGGCGCGGCGGCACGCGAGCCGAGCACGTGTCCAGCGGCGGCCGGCCGCCCAGGTGGGGGGCGCCGGCCCGGGCGGCCTGCAGGCTGCAGCGGCGTCGGAGGCGGCCGAGCACGCGGCAGCCCCACCGCGCCGTTCCGACCCAAACAAGCAGCTGCTCGTGTCCACACAGTCAGGGTCGGTGCCGGTTTGAGGCCAGAGAGGGGGCGGACAGACGTACAGGCGGGGACGGAGAGCGTCGGAGGACGGTACGAGCTCCTCGCTCCCCGCTGCAGTGTCTGACTGTAGGACGTGCCCGCGGGGCAGACACCAGATCGCGCCGTCTGGGAATGGCGGCGCCTCAGCTGCGGACCGCAGCGTCGTCCCGTGCCAGCGGGGTGGCGTACTGAGAGTCAGCGGGCGAGCTCGCGTCCTTCGGCTCCACTCCCATGCTGTGGAGCCTGAGCCCAGCCGGGGCCCGCGGCCGTGCTGCAGCGCTCGGTCGGGACCTGACCACGCCCTCTGATCTGACCGGGGCTCGACAGACCTGCGGTCGCGCCACTGGCCATAATTGATGTGAATAGACCGTGATAGGCACACATGAGCCCAGATTGGGGGACGTGGGCGCGCGCGTTACAGTGGCAATACATGACATCCTCGGGTCGCGTGCGCCTGCGATCGTTGCCTGTGTATTAGTGAATGGCTGGTGACCTCAGCACGCCAATGTAGCGTTGCGTGGCAACACACGTGTGACCCGCTCGATGAGCACAATGTGTTCTCGTGGCCGATAACGCATGGTGGAGAATGGGCAACGATTGCCGGTATTGCATAAAAGATCCGGCAAAGTCCAGCGGGACGGGAAACGACCTTCATGCGGCCCACGGCCTGCCAGCCATCCACAGATAGGTGAAAAGTCTGCATACTGTGCCATTAAGGAACGCTTATCATTCCAGAACTAACACCGGCGGCGCCGACCGCCGGCCAGGTCTGGCTGGCAAGTCCCGCCGGATCCCTGGCCCGGTGCCGCACACTGGCCAGGTCTGGCTCACAAGTCCCGCCTGGGCTCCCGGCGCCGACCGCCGGCCAGGTCTGGCTGGCAAGTCCCGCTGGATCTCCGGCGCCAGCCGCCGGCCAGGTCTGGCTGGCAAGTCCCGCCGGATCCCCGGCCCGGTGCCGTACGCCGGCCAGGTCTGACTGGCAAGTCCGCTGGATCCCCGGCGTCAGACGCCGGCCAGTCTGGCTGGCAAGTCCCGCTGGATCTCCGGCGTCGGACGCGGCCAGGTCTGACTGGCAAGTCCCGCTGGATCCCCGGCCCGGTGCCGTGCGCTACTGCAAGTCCCGCTGGATCCCGGCCTGCGGCCGGCCAGGTCTGGCTGGCAAGTTCCGCTGGATCCCCGGCCCGGTGCCGTGCGCCGGCCAGGTCTGGCTGGCAAGTCCCGCTGGATCCCCGGCGCCGGACGCCGATGGAGCCACAGCCCAGGCTCGCCGGCCTACCGGCCCCCGGGCGGCAAGCAGCCGCGCGCGGGCCGGGGTCGGCCCGGGAGCCTGTCACGTGCGGCACTGATGAAAGAGGCCGAGATCCCCAGGCCGCTTCTCCGCAGCCGGGCTGGCAGCGGGATCCTGTACCGGATTACACCGCAACAGCTCAGTGCCCGCGAAAAGCAGCGCCCGACAGAAAGGCATTGATTATCGGCGTGAAAGGAGGTGGGACACGAGGTTATGAT